GAGAGAAAACAAGAATTGATGCCCGGAATTTTGGGCCAAGTTTCTGCCCAGCAAAGCAGACATTCTGTTGACCGGCCCACAGCACGAAGCTGTCTGTAGTGGTTTGGATAAGAATGATCACCATAGGTTCAGACATCTGAATACTTGGTCTCCTGTTTGGGGAGGGAGGTATGTCACTGGGGATGGACTTGAGGTTTCAAAAGACTGTTCCCTGGGCAGTCTCTGCCTCCTGCTTGTGGTTCGAGCTCTGAGCTCTCGGCTGTTCCTGCCTTTACTCTGCAATCATGGACTCTGACCCTCTGCAACTGGAAGTCTAATTAAAAGCTTTCTTCTTGCTTTTGTTTGTTTGTTTGTTTTTTGTTGCTTTTTTTTTTTTTTTGATTTTGAGTTTTTTGTTTTGTTTTGTTTTTCAAGACTGCGTTTCTTTGTGTAGCCTTGGCTGTCCTGGTAGACCAGGTTGGCCTGGAACTCAGAGATCCTCCTGCCTCTGCCTCCCAAGTACTGGGATTAAAGGCGTGAGCCACTGTCACCCTGCTAATGCTGTCTTTGAAAAACAAAACAAAACAAATGGAAGGACCTGGGGAGAAGGCTGCGACTGTACGCTGCTTGTCAAGCTAGGCAGGTTCAGATCCTCAGCACTTATGTAAAACGCCGGAAACCGAGTGAGGAAGGCAGCCAACATCAATGGCAGACATTCCTAGGCAAACAAAGAAGCCTGTACACATGGATACACACATGGCGCAAATTACACACCTGTACTTTTAGTGCTTACCCTGGTGGTCATCTTGTCTCTGCCATTTGGCTTTCAGTTCAGGAAAAAATGTTCAGATGACTACATCTGATTTCACTTGGGTAGAGGAATGGAGCAATCCAGGCCACACAGGCAAGGGGGGTGTCAGGAAGATGGAAAGGTTGCTGTGTATAGTCTCACAGACTGTCTGTGTGTGACCTCATCTGGGCTTAATGTCGTATTGAGTGCACGGCAAATCGAGACGTGCAGTAAAGGTATGAGATGCTGGGTAAGGGTGACATACACAACAGTGTATACAGACTGGATGGCTCATCCGAGCTGACCCATGAGAGTAGATACTGTGAAGACCAAAAGGCCACCTTTTATTTTTTTAGGTATGTTCTATACGTGATTCTCAGAGCAATAAGGCAGCAGGAAGCTACTTAGGGACAATGGCTTCAGTGCACAAGAGAAGACTCACTAGGTGTAAGGAAGAAACCTGATTCAGTGCCCAAAGCAGCGGAGCCAGCCTCACCTGCTCCTGAGAAGCCTGGTGATCAGACAGGTGACTGATGGTAACGCCCGCTGTATCTCAGAATGTCCAGGAATAAAAGGTGGGTGTCATGTTTAAAAAATGACAGTGAAATCTTGCACTGTGTCAGACCACAGGAAGAGGCTCAAATGCAGCAGGAAGCATTTCACAAGGCAACCAACCACAGGCAAGCTGGCCATGAACACAGCCTTCAGGCAGGCTGCACAGCAACCAAACTCTGGGGTCCCCACACTGAGGTGCACCTCCCCGACAGGCTACCCAAGTTCATCTCCTTGTGTCCACTCTGAGTGGGTGAAAATACGGAGTGTTATCTGGGACAGCTGGAATCACAGGGAAGATGGCTGTATCCATCATAGCTTCAAACCCAAAGACATATGGGGAAAAAAAGAAAGCAGTAGAATTCTGTTTGATTTGAAAATACGCTACATCTTTTGTAAAGGAGTATAGGGTCCTTCTCCAGGAAGCCACCTGCCCTGGACCATTGCCTCTGGATCAAATTTGCTTGATGGGCACAATGAGGAAGAAGAGAGATAGCAGGAAGGGGATGCCACTTGCCTGACACTACACTGTGTTGATATATTTTTTTTTCCATGTGAAGGACAGTGACACAGTTCTACACACTGTCTGATCACCTTCCATCTATCTACCTCCTGATGTAACAGAAATGCACTGGCCCTCTGGTTGGAGAATCTGCAGTTCACAGGAACACAGCCTCTAAGCCATGTCTGACCCTCGGAGGCCTGTGGCCTTGCCTTTCCGGGTCCATAACCTTTCCAAAATTCTTTAGGTTACCATAACATTGAGCTGTCCTGCAATGGTGTTAGAAAATTAAATGTCACAAATCTCCCAAGTTATGAAAATCATATCTCACAGGTCTAGAATACCAAACTTTAGCTGGGCACTGTGCTACACACCTATAAGCTCCGCACTTTGGGGGAGAAAGAAGAATCAGAAGCTCAAGGCCAACCTAGACTACACAAGAAGCTGTCTCAAAAACAAACAAACAAACAAAACCCAACAAAATAGAACATTTAAGATACAAGAGTAAGTGAGTTAGTTATTGGCGATTGTCTGAAAATAAAACGCAACAAACAAAACCCACAAAGCTAACTGACTCCTCCATCAGTTGGTCAAGTATGGAGTCTTTTCAAGAACTCTTTACTTTGATTTTACAAAGCCTGTTCCAGTAAACTATCTACTTTGCCTGTTTTAAACCTAAGTACATTGACATGTTAGGAATTATGCTGATGGGTTATTTTGAATGTCAGGCGAGCGATGGTATAGAAACGGTGATTGGGATGGAAGGGAAGAGAAGAGAGAAACAGTGCTCTCCCCCGCCTCCCCGTTTTGTCCTCTGACTTCCAATGTCAAGCAAACTACCCGAGTCTTCCATCATACAGGCCTTGCTCAGCAGGCAGGTATACCAGAAGTCCCAGCGCAGATACTAACTTTCCGAGTCAGGGGGTGGCAGCTGTCTCCCACTTGGCCCATAGGTGTGCAGATCCGTATGCTCTTCACCCAGATACTGACAGCACAGCACATGCCTCCTCCACACTGGGAGTCCTTGTCGCAAGCCTGGAACGAAATAAACCAACAGATAAATATAGACAGTGGGAAAGGCTCAGGCTGGGGAATTCTAAAATTAGCAGGGAAAATCCTCTTTAACTATCCAAACGCCCAGCCAGTAAAGTACTTGCCACCCAAGCACGAGGACACGAGTTCAATCCTCGGAGCCCACAGGTAAAGCCAGACATGGTGGCTCACGCTTGCAATCCCACCTCTGGGAAGATGGAGGCAGGCCGATCCTCGGGGCTTGGTGGCCAACCAGTGTAGCCAAAATAGGGCATTCTAAGCCATGTGAGAAACCATGTCTCAAAAAATAAGGTGGATAGCACCTGAGGACAACATCTGTGCTTAATGTCTGCCCATACTGTGTGAACACCTCACCCAGCATGTATCCTAATGCAGTGATTTTAATAAAACAGAACCATAAGCTCCATTTGCTTGTATACACCTACAATCAACATTGATTAGAATGTTTCCACAGACTGAAGAGCTCCTGTATGATGAAACCCAGGATTAAGAAGGAAAAGAGGAGGGGGAAGAGCACTTTGGCTTTCTTCTGGTGCTTTATGGCTAAAATTGAAGGAGTCTATGCTAGCCCTGTGCTATACACGGCCATTTGGAACTACACAAATCAAATCACAAGATTTTATGACTACTAGCTGCTGAATGTAGGGAGCCTAGTTTTAAAAAAGAGATGGAAATAGTCTCTAAATTGGGCATGAAGTGCTGCAGACCTGTAAAGGCACCAATGTAACATTTAGAAGTGCTCATTTTCCCTTTCAAACATTTGCCCTGTGCTTTGTGAGACTGGATGCTTCCTGCATGGGCACCCTGATTTTCACCATTTCCTCTTTCAAAATATAAACTGTCCAAGGGTGGGAAGGGACAGACCAAGACTTTTGCCCCTTCACACTAGTCTTTCATGTGAATGACACACAGAAAGGAGCTGACTGGCTTCGGAGCAGCAGATGTGTACATGGGAAACTAGCCACAAAGGTCCAGCGGGTGAGGACAGGCACAGGACAGCACAGATACAACCAGTAGCAGTAACTCCTCAAAGTACACCCCCCCCACCCCCACACCCCGCATACACAAACTACAAGTCTATACAGCGGAAGAATCAACATGGAGGACTTGCCATGCAGCTCTAGCTATATGAAGCCCACGTTTATTTGCATGAAAATGTATCTTAAGAACTGTAGCCCTTTCTTAGAGCCAACAACAACAAAAAAGGGATGCTTTGCTTTAGCAATGTGTAGCAGTCCATTTGTTGTTCAAAATAAGTAGAGGCTTAAAACCACAACTTTAACTTTGGGTGGCTTTTCTTCTTCTTTTGCTATAGGATGATGTTTAAACATTCCCACCTTTTAATTTTTGTCTGGACACCAGAAATCATGCAAACATGACCATCATAGCCCTGAAATGTTAGGTCTACTCAACAATCTTCTGCAATATGGTTTTAATACATCTATATGGAGATATCAAGTTCAAAGACTGTGCTTGTGTGTGTGGAGTAAAAACTTAAGGTGGGTGTTTCAACCAGTGTTTTAACAGATGTACAAGACTCTAACTTCTAAAGCCCCAGCAGCTCTTTCTAAGACCATAAAAAAGCCAGACCAAAATCTTTTAAAATTCAATCAATCACTTAGATGTTTATCACCCTGTATACACTATATCTAGATAAATAACTGACTTTTTCATTTGAATCCAGATGGTTTCTGCCAGGGGAACCTAACTTCACTTTACTGTTGTGTTGCTTTAGAGAAAAATTTTTCCAATACTCTTTTCATAACATTGAATTAACAACAAAAAAACCCCCCAAGAGTCCACATGACTGTACCACCAATTCTCCCCACCCCCGAATCCCACCAGCATATAAACATGAAATGAGATAAAATTTCATTTCATAACAAAAAGCTTCAGTTGTTGGAAATTTACAGAGAATTGCATAAGTTTATATCTTTTTAATTAGACAGCTGTTTCCTAGTACTCTTTATTCTTCTTAACCCATTGCAGAGCCGTGCAAACAGTGTCCTCCTGTGAATGGAACAAAACCCACTTGCACTGCCCAGGAACCTTGGGGCTTAGAGGATTAGGAAACACTTAGAATGAACCAGCAGGGGAAGGAGGGAAAACCCACCCAATCATGTTTCCATTCGCATGTGTTACAAAGACACTGTAGAGACTTTTGTTCACGCACACCAACTGGCTATGGTTGAAGCTATGTAAGTGGTTTTAAGAATCTCTGCTCTAATAAGTACCACAAGGCATAAAACCAAATATCTAAGGGACATAACTCAATGCTGTCATAGCCCCAGAGCTTTCAGAATGCAATCTGTACCCTAGGAAACAGAGAGAACATCAATCTTCATTTATTCAACACGATGGCCCTTCTTTTAAATGACATGTTATTTTATTGCCTGTATGTCATCGTTCCAAACACATCTATATTAAAATCCAATAACGCACTCTTACATATTAAAAGTGATTTAGATAAATAGATCCACTGAAAAAATATGCTTGCAACTTTTTTTTTTCTTTTAAGGAGTGAAACAACAGCCAACAGACAGCCAACAGCCAAGGTTCTGCTGGGCTGTGAAAACAGACTTCTGAAATGTTGTGCTGTGAACTCATTCTTTAGATAGACAAAAAGAAAACTCAGAGAGTTGAAGAAACGGGCTATTTCTAAACGTGATGGAGATGCTCTCTGTGAGTCTAAACAATGTCTAATGACAGCCTGCTCCATCGCCAAGCCCTGGGAGTGAGGTATCAGGAATCAGACTTGACAATGTATGTAAGGAGAACTTCACGATGAAGAAGGGGGAAAAATAAAAAAATAACATAAAAATAAAAGAGCAGCTGCCCCAGAACCCAGTAAGAAGAGCCCACAGTTGCTTTCCAAAGCTCACACATGGCTACGGGCCCAAGGGACTTCACAGGGTAAGCCCACCCGGGAGCTGTGGAATTTGAGGTGTATGTCTTGCTCTTTTGCAATTCAAGGAAGGGCGGTCAGATTTTGGGGTGAGGGTTTCCACCCCCTGGAAAAGAACTTTCTCACTGGGGAAGAAACTTCTTTGAGCTACTAAATAGAACAGCAGATCAAACGCAAGGAGTGCGGGAGGGAGAGGTAGGGAAGGCGCTCCTGAGGCAGTTTAATTCCACGGTGCGCCTTACTGTCCCCTGCCTTGGGAGCAAGACACGTTCCCAAGGGCCCAAAGGACGATCCAGGAGAATGTCACACAGGACACACCCTTCCCGGTGCCTACACACCCCGGGCCTGGTGTCCCCGGGGCGATCCGGGAGCGACAGGTGCGCGGGCAGCTTACCCCGGTGATGACCGCGGCATCCCCGGCGGGCGGCGTGAGCAGCAGCGGCAGCAGCAGGAGTAGCAGTAGCGGGGCACAGCGCGGGGCCCCCATGGCGCCCCGGGGACACGGTGGCGGTTGGGGCACGCGATCGGGGACGTTGGGGACGCGTGGCCGGGCTGCTCTGCCGAGCCGCGAGCCTGGCGGCAGTTATAAAGGCGAGCCCCGCGGTGACTCACGCCCGGTAGCACGCGGGGGGCACGGCGCGGGCACACACACCCCGCGCCCCACGCGCACACGCGCACGTGCCCCGCGCCCCCACGCGCACAGGCGCCACGCGGGCAGAGCCCCCCGCGGGGCGCCGCCAGCCCTAGTCAGCCTTCCTGTTGCTTTTGTAGTCTCAGAAACCCTCCTCCTTCGCTGTCCTGCTTTCCAGAGCTCCACGTGCTCAGCCCCCACACTCTTGGAGGCACATCATTTGCTATACAGATGTGCAGAGGGTGCCCACGACGTGCCGGGCGCGGCGGACACAACTGTCCTGTATTCGTACACATTTGTTCAGCATGTCTACAAGGGGCGCTCCGTGCGTGCCAGGTACTGCCACCGTCTCTGTCTGTCCTGCGGTGGCACAACTTAGAGAGGACCCACCACAACCAATAAAACAAAGGTGTAGTAAAGGGGAAAAACAAAACACCACGCACACCCCAAATCCCCATCCCTTGCGAAGTGGAGGGCCTCGGCTGCCCCTCCAGCTGTGGGAGCCTCATTTACTTTTTTGAAATGACTTCCCCTGGTGCCCACATCTGTTCCTGACCCTCTCCGCCCTGATTTCCCTCACGTGCGTTCCCTCCCCTCGGCAGCTTCCAGCCAGCTTCAGGCAGAACAGGACGCTGCCAAGGGGAAAAAGGGAACTCCCAGCATGTTCTGCCAGCCTGAGGCCCTGGGAAGGCGGCTCTCTCCCAGTTCTCTTCTCCAACCCAGGAAACTCTAGGTCTTTGGTTCAGGTCAAGAACTAATGTGTATCTGCTGGAGTCTAGTCAATCCATGAGACACGACAACTATGCCCTCTCTGTGTTCCTCTGTGGTGCCAATAATCCCATCTTACTTGCTTCTACAAGGGTGATCGAATTGACTTGTTCTGGCCAGGGAGTGGTGGTGCATCCCTATCATCCCAGTACTCGGGAGGCAGAGGCAGGTGGATCTCTGTGAGTTCAAGGCCAGACTGACTGGTCTATAAAGCGAGTTCCAGGACAGCAAGAACTGTTATACAGAGAAACCCTGTCCCAAAAAACAAAAACAACAAAAAATTGTTCCGAGTTTGAGGGGAGCCCACCTTACTCCCGGAGGACTTGGGATCTCAGACTTTCCCATGTCCCTTAGGACCACAGACTGCTGAAAGGCAGATGGGCCTTTTCAGCCTCTTTAATCAATACAGTAAGGAGAGCTGGGCCAGTTACTTTCAGACTGCGGGCTCCCCCATGCCAAAGCATTCAGACGAAATGTAGAGGGGGAAAAAAAACTGAACAAAGGGCCAGGGAATTATTTGAATGTTAAACAGCTGGGTATTTCAAACCTCAGATCTTTGGCTGAGTTTTAAAGCCTTTTGTACCCATGTTTTCGAGTTCAAGAAGCATCCTGAGACCGAACACAAACGGGATCAAACTCATTTTTAACTTTGAGAAAACTGTTAAAAGTGGATTCACAGTAAAATAAGTGGAAACAGTAGCAAGTGACAGACTGGTGGAAAGTTTCCTTTTCCAGTCTCCACGCCAACCACGGCATGGGAGTGCAGCCCAGGGGGAAATGTAAAAACCAGTCAACGCGGACTTTAACATTCCTGCCACTTTTTTTTCCCCCTTGAATGGCCGATTTCATATTTGTTATTACTGAATGCCAACTGGGTATTCCCTCCTTCTCCAAGCATAGAAACCAGGCCATGTCTACACAGGGAAATGCTAGCCTTCCATTGTGACTGGCTTCTTGCAGGCCTGTTTGCAAAAGCCATCTTCTAAGACTGTTAGATCAAGGTTGGAAGCACTTCAAAATAGGTTGGTTTGGGGCTCTTGGTTTCCTGTGCTGAGGTTGGAACCAAGGGCACAGACACCCTGGGCAAGCCCTCTACCACAAGGCTACACCCTGAACCTCTTTGGAGACCTTTTTAACGGTTTTAATACTTGAGAAAAGAAATGAAAACTCTTTAACACAACTTCTTTTGGACCCACAGGCAAGTTATCAGAGCAAGTGTGACTTTAATTCTTAAAAATGGAAAGATGTAATTTGTATTAGCCCCCCACAGATACAGACAGTGATGGAGCAACCATGAAATTGAAGTTCTGTTTTGTTACTGCAGCCTGTTGGTGTGGTCAGTCATATGGTCCAGTTAGTCAGTAACAACTAACTGCTGGATGAGGTCTAGAACTTGTGGGTTCAGAGTGTAGACTAGCAGCCTAGCGGGCCAGCACTGCTCAGCTGATTTGAAAGTGTGATACAAGAGTGCCCGAAGAGACCCATGTTTGAGAGTTAGAGTGACCTGGATTGGAATCTTTTGTAGCAACTAGACTAGCCTTCAAACCTTTAGAGTCTGTTCTGTTTCCTATGAAACGAGTATAAAATACCACCTTTCTGGGGACTGGTCACCATGGGGCTCAAAGGGAACACCTGTAAAGTGCTAGGCACCAAGTCTGGGATAGACTGGAAGGCATGCAAAGGTGACTTCTCATTAAATCTTACAGTGAGCTCTCCCCTGATAGGTTCATTGAACACTGATAGGGCTGTTTTCTGTCCTACCCACCTAATTAGATCACATACACTTGCTGGCTGGGAGCTCACTTTCCTGAAAATCCTTCTTGCACATGGCATTAGCCAGCACTTAGAAAATGATTGATGGGCAACAGGAGTGTATCCCATGACCAGGGACAGAGACAGGTTACGAGCAAATGGTGTACAGTGCAGATGCACTTAACCTATATGGACCATGGATGCAGCCAGCAAAAGCCGAGAGGGAAAGAGACCTGGTGCAGGGGATTCACCTGCTGTTTCCGCCAAAATTATGAGACTGGAATGAGGTGACCCTAGAGAAGTGTACTGTCTTACAGCTGCCACACATTTGACCTACAACAGTCACTCTGGGACCTGAGCTGAGGGAGACTTTATTTGAACTAATTTATGATTTCCAGTCTAGGGTTACACTACGTATCACCTAGAAAGTTATGTCGAAATTCTAGACCCAGCTACCTGTGACTTTATTTGGAAGTAGTATCTTTGCAGATACAATCAACCAAACTTGAAATTATCTTGGATGAGACTGTGTCCTAAATCTAAGGACTGATATCTTTGTAAAAAAAAAAAAAAAAGTAGTGTGAGAGTGTGTGTGGGGGGGGGGCCCACGTACACATAGCATATATGTAGGTCAGAGGGCAACATTGGTTACCAACACCTTTTGTTTGGGACAGGGTCTTTCACTAGACTGGATCTTTTCCACACAGGTCAGGTTAGCTGGCCTCTGAGCCTCAAGGTCTCTACCTGCCTCAGCCTCCCATTTTACCATTGTTGGGATTACAGACTCATGTCACCACACCTGGCTTTTTATATGGGTTCTGGACACTGACCTCAGGACATCATGCTTGTGAGGCAAGCGCTTTGCTGACTGAGCTATCTCCCTGGCTTTTATAATAGGAACATGATACTTGATACAGAGACAGGTAACACATCTGTCAGCCCTCCTCCCAGATAGCTAGCTTCCAGAACCCAGAAAAGTTGGGAAGAGCATCTTCCCAGAAGGCTTCTCAAAGAGAAGGCACTGCTGACACCTTGATTTTGAACTTCTCACCTCCAAAACTAGAAGAAAATAACATCTGATGTATGAAGCCACCCAGTTCTGCTCACTTCTCCCAACACCTCTGGGAAACTAACAGACTGGGTGGGGCAGGATGGTTGCACATCAGCTTTCTTCTGCCTCTGCCTGGAACTCAAGCCTGACTGTGTAGTGAGTGAAACAGGTCACATGACAGTTCACTTTGCTAAGGATAGCAATACCAATGTGGTTTGTGCTGAGATCCAGAAACCTGGTGAGCAGTGCCAGATTCCACGGGAAAGGGGTCTTTGGTGGCTTGGACCCCTTAATGGGTTCAGTGTGCTTTGACTGATCCTAGTAATTCTCACTACAAAGGATAACGGGTTTACGTATATATTTTTCTTGTTCCATCCTTCAAGTGACACAGTGTGAAAGAGTACAAATGTGCAAGCTGGGAATGTTTTAAGTAGGTAGTAAACCATCATTCATTCACTCACTCAACAGGTACTTACTAAGCATGAACTATAGACTGAGCATTGAGTAAAGCACTTCGTGGCTCAGTACATTATTTGCTGACCAGGATGACTGAGAGTAGTCATCAACCCATATCCTGACGGGAGAGAAGCGCAGAAACCTTGTTGGCTGTCCAGAGAAAGAGGTGCAGGAATAGAGTGGGAAGGAAGGAGGGAGCTCAGGATTCACCGTGTGAACTGGCTGACGGAGGGTGGGGGGATGGTGGCACTCACATGGGCGTGGGCAAAGGCACTCAAACAGGCAGGGTGAGGGGAGCGGCTGTGCTAAAAACAGACACGGCTAAGCAGCACTTTGCTGGACTTTTCAAAACTCCCATTTCACATAATGTAGCCACAGTGACTAAGGTTTAGGTAGAAAGTTGGAAAACTGTGATCTATTGTCCGTTTTTGTTGTTGTTTGTCTGTCGTCTGTGGTTTTTAGTTTGTTTTGTTTTAGTTTGGTTTTAAGTTTTACCAGGACCTAGCCGTGCCTGTTTCTGCATTGCCTGTGGCTGCTTTTTACTGAGTACTTGTGAGACCATAGGACCCGGAAAGCCAAAACAAATATTTATTCTCTACTCTTGAGAGAAAGCTTGCTGACCTCTGGTTGTGTGTGTGTGTGTGTGTGTGTGTGTGTGTGTGTGTGTGTGTGTGTGTGTAGGTGGTGGTGTGGATGCACATGCACATGCATGTGCATGGGGAGGCCAGAGGCCAGCCTCAGCTGCCGATCTTCAAGTACCTTCTATCTTGCTTGGTGAGACGGGGTCTTTCACTAGGCCTGGGACTCACCAAGTAAGCTAGGCTGGCCGGCCAGTGAGCCCCTGAAATCCGCCTGTCTCTGCCTCAGTGCTGGGATGCTCCGTGCGCACCACCCTCCAGTCTGACTTAATTTTACACGGGTTCTAGTGAGCAAACTCAGCTTACTGTGCTTAGGACGGAGCTACTTCCCCAGCTCTGCTGCCTCCGGGTTTATGTGTTCAGGAACAGCCTAGAGGGCTGGAGTGCTGGTTCAGCCATTGAAGGCTAGGCTCACAATCAAAAATATGTATGTAT